AACCCGCCGAGGAAACCGTCGACGGTTCCCGTATGCTCCAACGCACACGGCCAGGGCCCGTGACTGAAACACCCGCTACCACTCCTGATCAATCCGATCACGATGCTCGGACGATCGTCGATCTGATCGCGATCGATTTCGCGCGAGCAACTTTTAGCCTGATTAATGACTGAATAGATTGACAGAGGACAGAAACGGGGGTTGGAGGTAGAGGGCTGAATGAACGGGCGCAAGGGATGTTTGTTTTATCAAAGATTTATCTCTACCTCGATGCATCCAGTGATTTCGATCGATAGCATACAGTGATAGGATATATCAAATAATGGATAGTACGGTTTTTCGTTTATCTTGAGACCAATGATTTCAATGAGTTCAGATGAGCTGAAGTTGCAGCGACGCGACTACGACCGACGTACGAATGCTTGTTGCTCACCGCCTCGGCGTTAGATGGTTCAATGGATGAGTCGAAATGACGATGACTATTTGGCTGACTACACGACCGTGACGATGATGAAGGACGATGGTAGATCGAAGAGATGTGACTGGTGATGATTACGAGTGAACGAGAGGCGTCACGTAGGATGAAAAGTCATGGTGCTAGGTGCAGATATATGAAACAATATTATTGATACGTGAAACAACGTGACAAGGATTATCTATCGATGATGCTTGGATCAAGCGCGTTGATGTGTTATTTTCATAAAAGATGACGGTATTTTCTTTTTTCTTTTTTGCTAATGCTCGGCGTTTAAAAAGGGACACACTTATCCAGATAGCTTTAATTTACTCGATCGATTCCATTGTCCGATACTATATATGTTTGACATTGAACATTCTGCTATAGCTAATTGTAAGAACGGTTAAACGAGTTGGTTGGGCTAATTCGCGGTTTACGGAGGTTGTTCAGGAAAGAAAGGGGTAAACAACATGTTGCAAAACTTTCTGCACGGACAATCAATAGGGCTACTGATTACTAGAGATTTGGACTCATAGGCAAAGACAAAAAGATAGAAACGATTAAACAGGAGTGTCATGCATTTGCCTAAAACATTAACGACCACTTGGCAGTTAACGCGTCCGACACACACCGCTTAAAGAATTCATTTGACAAAGAAGATGCGCGTTGCAGATCGGCCTGCGACGAATCTTTCTACGATCGACACTTTTCAATGAAGTTACGGCCCGTACGAACAAAGAAAGATACAAGCACGTACAGCGATACTCTTAGAAGCGGTGGATGTCTCTTGCAACACGATTCGAACAGGGTAAATACGGTCAGGTATGACGAACGGTTTGGCTTTTGGGACCCACAAGAGCAAACAGCAGACCAAACTCGCATAATATGTATATAAATAATGTGTATAAAGACTTCTATCCAAATCAATCAATCAAATTCAATGGTATATGCGAAAATGCAAAACACGGAACTCGTAATTGATTACGAGCGCCAATCGATTTGGGTTACGATCTCTTGAATACTAAATCGATCGACTGTACCGATACAAAGAGATGACAAAGGACGTATCGATGCCTGTTCGTGCTACTTACTCGGTCGTGGGTGCCTTTCAGGCTCACTGCCCTTTTCCCTTTGCTCTTTCTCCTTGTCCTTCGGCTCCTTTTCTTTCTCCTAAACAAAAGGCACTCGATCGATAATGTTGTATCATTGAATTAATCGTGGAATTATTTCCAGTTTACACGTGATCGAGTCTTAAATATCGACTAAGTCTCTTTGACGAGAACGTAGCTAGTTGTCATCGAGGGTTTTCCCCAAAGAAATACCTTGGCGTCTTTAGTGACGGACGGTGCACGCGGTGGTTGACGTTTAGGTGAACGACGTTCGGTCACGGTAGGACCAAGACTCTGAGAACGACCGGTTCTTGGACTGTTCTTAGGACTGGACTTGGTCTTAGGCTGAATCTCCTCGCGGTGCTCTTTCGTTTCCTCTCGACGTCGTGGTATCACGGGCTCCAACTTCTCTCTCGTTGGAGAGGGAAGTAGTGCACCGTCACCTGACAGGAAAGGAGAACAGGTTTTTTCTATTTTCATAAAATTCGTTGTTGCACCGTTTGAAATTACTTCGATGTACTTACCCACGCCAGTTGTACGATCCAAGTGATGGCGGATCAAGAAATCTTTCCTTGCGCGAGCAATGGCTCTTTCCGGGTCCTGTCGGCCGATATATCAATTTTATCGATATCGTTGGGATTAATGAATCGTCAGTGGACAAGTACGTACCACTTTAAAATCGTCATGCAAAATTCCGTGAACGGGTCTGGCTTGTACCGATGATGGTCGGCCAGCAGGGGGCATGGTCATCGTGGCGGCAACGGGGGCGACCTTCCTCGTGTTCTCCTTTTCTTTCTCTTCCTTCGTCACTGACCTAAATATGCAACCACTTGTCACCGTGTTTTTTCTTCCACTGACAATTCGGCACGAGGCACAATCGCGTGGAAGAAATAAAAGGCAGCTACGACAAAACCCGTACGAAGATTCGAACAATTCGTCCCTGTACAACTACGCTTGACTCTCTTCTTTTCTTTTCTTTTCTCCTCTTTCTCTGGCTCGAGTAGAGCGTGTACATGAATGGAGGTGTCTCTGTCTCTGACGATAATTGGTTAGCGAATATTCACGATAAATGCTAGAACTCATCGTCAAATTAATCACCGATGTCGCATTCCTGATAAGTCGGACGCCAGTAGAATCCAATCGTGCCAAGTCAAACGCCGATGCTCCCTATGCATACGCCGATACTGCTACGTTCACAGTACTAGAGAATTATACGTACCAACGAGAATGGATAATATGTAAATTTGAAAAATTGTCGATCGATCGATCGTGCTCGTAGCTCGATGGATAGCCATATTCGAAAATAACCAACAATCCGTCTGATATCGCAAGAGTGCAACTACTTCTAACGATTTTTTATCCGTCAATTGATCGGCAAATTTCATTTCCTTCCATTCGTACAATCAGCTTTCGTTTACGTCTAATTTGTTTAACGTTTGCTATCGATGTTCTTCTACCTTTATATTTCTGTTCATCGCGTTGCGAAACGGATACCGTTTACCATTGACATTGATTGTCAAGTAACATGGAAAACTTGAATGTTTGAGAGTGGAGTAGTGTACTGGCCTGGCAAGGGACAGCGCGTTGAGAGCGTGGTTACTGGAGACTCGTTTCCACAGCGAAGCCTCGTCCTCTGCTGCCAGACCGCAACCCCAGTCGCGATGCTAATATAAATCAGAATCAATCATTCTGTTGCTTTTTACTTCCTAGGCGCTAAGCTATAACGCGTTTGCAGCGGCACTATGGCGCGCGCGAGCGCACATACGCACACGCACACACAAACACACACACGCGCGCGCGTGTATAGAGAACATGCTATGGAAGACACAGATCGTACTACGTTTCGTGTGCAAACGATTTTCGTTGATTTCGATCGGTTTTGACGTCTGAGGAATATGTGCATGCATGTGTACGATGAGTATATGAGTTTGACAGAAGATCGTAGAGATTTGTCGTGATCGTTGACGATGATGGCCGATCGATATTGAGTCGTGTTGTGAATCAAACGTTCAGAAATCGTTGAAAAAAAAAAATGATAAGACGAACACATGCAAGTTTGAATGCACTCGTAAATCGACAACGTTCATCCTTTGGCTCTGTATTTGTAACACTTAGGATATTTACAAAGACACACGTACACTAATGGTTCTATGGATGGCGAAAGCCTGCCTAGGGAACACTCGAGAAACGAAAGACACTAAGAAAGGTGTAAAGGGGGAATATCGTTTCCAAATTGAAACTCGAAGAACAAATATCGGCGAAAGAAAGGATGGAACAGTGGCATCTTTGTTCCCGGAATTACCTTGTACTCGTCAGCGAGTCGTCTAAGCTCGATGACATCAGACGTAGGAAACGGTTTCTTCTGCGGTTTGCTCAGCCCTTTATCATCCGATATCCTTACGGTCCTACCTGACTTTTTACCCCTGAAAAGAATCAATCGTGGTTGTAGGGTACTCTAGCGTATGTTCTTCTGTTTTTTTTTTCTTTTTTCTCATTCTCGATGAGTGTGATATACACGCGCGAAACACGTCGCAATCGACCTCGGATCGTCGTAGATGCTTTCTCGTTCTTCCCTTCGAATCTCTTCGTCTACGCGATGCTGCATACGGGACCGTGTACGATAAGCTAGCTCGGATTAATATACGTCATCTTGAATTCTGACCTGAAAGCTATTTTCAAGTCCGGCATATCCTCCTCGCGCTCGTCGCCCTCGGGCACCACTCCGTCGATGGTGTCGGCCCCGGTTCCTCCGACCAGCGGCTCCAACTCCGACGCTTGCATTCCTGTGATACATCGACAAGAAGAAAAAAAAAAGAAAAAAAAGGAAAAGAGAAACAAGCGAATGTTAAAAAGATTCCAGAAGGAGAAACGTCTTCGTGACTAAATAAATCGATACTTTTTTCTACTTGAAATGGTTCAAGACCCCTTGGAAAGCAAACGCAAGTTGGATCGGAGGAGAAAAAATTTGTCGAGATGTTCCATTTACCATCGCGCTTATGATCGACATCACCGGGTCGTTTCTTGTGAACCGGGGCAGGTCCTGTAGGGGCGATACCCTGCTTAAGAGCTCCCATGCTGAGAGATTTTCTAGGTGGGCCTGTCGTACCTGCAGGAAGTCCCGCGGCCAACACCTCCGGCGCCATTGTCTCGCCATTCGTCAGTTGAGGTCTTCTAGGCCAGGCGAACTGCAGCCGATACTCGGTGCTGATCCGCGAAATCGCTTTGCTCAGTTGACTCGGTGGCAAACCTGACTGCGTTGTAACTTCCTGTAATAACGATTTCACGATCGTTAACTTCAGATGTGCAGCCTCGTAGGCTACGCTATTCCATGGCTACGAGGCTCGC